ATAATTGTGAAAAAGCTCTCACAAGTTTATAAAGTTTTATTTGTAATTTCATCTACTATTTAAGAGAGTTCTCTGTAAAAGTTTATTTCATTACTCAGAAATCTTGAAAAGGTATTTTTCAAGTGTTTGTAACAACTTGTTGGGTTGTAACAAGGTTTGTTGAGTGATTCAAGACAAGTTAAGTCTTGAGAGTTGTACTGTGATAGTAAGCACCCATTAAGGCTTGTGAACTCAGTTGAAAATCTCAAGTATAATATTAAGGACTGCACATAGGCCAAGTTTAGGGCTGAACAAGTATAAATCTTATATATCTCATCTTCTTCCTTCATACTAAAGCTTTTCACTCTTTTAAGTTTCTAAAAGCTTTTGTGTCACCCAATTCACCCCCTTTTTAGGTGCCAGCCAATCCTAACATAGTGGAGTGCTATACCCTGTAACATTTCAAGTTTTAGTCCCCTAATTAATTAAACCTAACTAGGGTAATTAAGTAAGTTAAAGTCGTGTGTGGCCAAAGAGGTCTAATAATCATATTTGATTGCATTTCAGCCCTAATTGTAGGCCTAATATTAAGGCGAGCTACCCGAGTGTCAAAAGTTAAAGAAAAATAAAGAGTGATATTTTTGTGCCACACGCTGCGGCATGGAGATCATCCTTCATGGTGCATAGACAATTCAAATACGAGAAGGACCTCTCTGTGCCATGTGTCAAGGCGTATTGTGCGCTCGCCATGATGTATGGCCATTTTCTACAATTTATCATATGCGAACCTGAGATAGAAAAGAGAGAAGAGAATGAAGAGGATGCACCAAGCTCTACTAGAGTTTTCTAGTAGATGACATTGGGAGTATTTAAGGCTACAAACACCCAAGATAAGTACTATACTCCTTAATCACTCCCCATTTCTTCCACATTTATAAGTTTGTAGTTAGAGTTTGATAGTAAAAGTGAATTTTTGATCCATATGAGTTATGGATCTAAATTTATTGACTAAAATGGAGTTAATGGGAGTAGATTAGAATATCTAAATCTAGTATAATGAATTTTTAGTGTCTTGAGTTGTTAGGCACTATTAATATCTAAAAATCTCATTTATTATGGGTAGGTAGAAGATTATGATGCCATTAATAGGAATCTAATGGTTCATTAATGTTATTGGAGACCAAAGGTAATTAATAAACCCAAGAGATAGGCTCGAATTCTTTTAGAGTGAACATTGGGCAATTTAGAAGTGGAGATTGAGGGTTTAATGTTTGAAATGATAGTGTTGATGAAATTCAACTTGGTTGATTATAGTTTTTGGCTCTTGATCACCTATTGGATTGAAAATTCAAGCTTGGAAGTTATTAGATTGAGGGTAAATCTTTGACCTCTTAAAGGTTTGAGTTAACCAGAAAAAACTCTACTTTGAATAGTTATATATTAATGAATTGTAAATTAATTTCTATTGTGAATGTGGCATGCATGGGTTGATTTTCAATGTGAAAAGCATGTGTTAGTTTCAACGAGTATATGAAAAATTGAATATATATAGGTTATTGTGGCTTGAAATGCAAATACCTAATTAAGATGTTTTTGAATATCAACATGCATATATCTTTAGAAAAATAAAGGTGATTATTATGTGAGATAGATATGTGTTAATGAGAAATGAATTTTGAAAAAATGATGAGAATACATACTTGTGTAGCACATGGTCGTGAGCCCAACATGATTGTTGTAATAATGAGTAAATAAAAATGAAAAAGTGAAAACGAGTGAGTAATTGATTATGGTAGGGTTAATGGCTGGAGTTTGCCTAGGGATTGAGAGTAGAGAAAAATTTATATGGTACTTAGGCTGCCCTCTAATGCACGGGGGTATAGCCTCATCTCATAATTTGTCGAGGGACTGTCCCATAGTTTTTTAAGAGACTAGAACCTAGTTATTTCCACTGATTCAATGAGAGAATAGCCTAGGGTATGAGACACCCTAGGGATTCAAGAATGGGAGAAGCTGTGGTCCGAGAGTGAGTCATATGATCTTTGGTTAGGTCATACCTCATGATTAGTGAGCTTGAATAGTCCAGTTATAGGGATGGAGCCCTATTCAGTGTTATAGCCCACAGTTTCAGTTTGAGAAAATAAGGAGAATATAAGGTTGGTTGAATATTGCCTAATTAAACATATGATGTGACACACGTGTTAAGTGGTGGTAAGTTGCTTGAATAATGGGTCAAGGTCACATATCTAAGAATATAGTGATAATGCACCTAGTATATGTGAGTTAAAGAAGTTATTAAATGATAAATGAAAAATTATGATATGTTTGAGCATGTTTTACATATATGGTTCCTTATACATGTACTTGGTTTATAATTGATATATAATTACATAGGGTGGGTTTAACTTTAGTTACTAAGTGGCTAGTTTCATTTAATATTTTTCAGACTCTAGCTTTGGTGCTGAGAGGGAGAAGGCTAAAGGGGTTAAAAATTAGCATATTCCTTTCTATATGCCTTTAGCTTAGATTTATTTTGTGTAATAGTATATAAATGCCAATTCTATGATGTATGCCATCATACTTGCACTATTTTGTTGTTGGAAATGTTAGATTTGTATTTTAAACCCTCAGTCTTTATGTATATTGATGTGTGTGTGTCTGTGTGTGTGTGTCTGTGTGTGTTAATAGGGCCAAAATACTAGTGCAAGTGTAGAATTAGATATTTGAACATGTTTTGATTGAACTGTGTGTAATGGTATGCCAAATTGCCTCCCCCTCTATTTTGGTAAAAAGGGATTAAGGAGTGAATTTCTGTTATACTATGTTTTAAGTGTGTGTGACGTGTTGTACTGGTAGTCTGGAGTCTAATATACATAGTTCAGGTGTTAGGAAAGGCTTTTGGTACATGTTGAGGGTTTTTGGACACCCATTTTGTGTTAAAGTTGTAAAAAGTGGTGAAAATAGGTTTGGATGTCTAACTTCTCAGTGTGACTTGTTTTGGAAGTAAAACACATGCCATTAGCTAGTTCATGTAGAGAGCTTTCAGTAGACACCTAGATCACATCATTCGGACATCGGATGGAGAATCAAGGTGTATTGGAAGTTTCCTGATTCTGTTGTCAAATGATAGCAGAATCTATTGATTTTTTATGCAACGTGCCACGGTGCATGATGCTTGAGCCGCGGCGCATTGCGCTGTTTTACAGCAAATGATTTGTTTTTCAACCATTTTTAAATTCTTTCACTCCTTTGAGGTATTTCATGCTTCTGTAACATATTTTACTCTGATTTAAGGGGTTAAGAATGTGTTAAACTTATTCTAATTATGAAAACTTAGGATCTTTTGAATTTAAATTTAAAGCTTGGTAATCACTTTTCTGAGTTAAGTCTTTAATTACCATGAGCTATATTGGTTAATTGTATTTAGTGGAGTGAGATTTTACATACCCTAGATGGCTAGAGTCTAATAGCTGAAAGCATCACTAGCTTACGCTTTGACTCGTGTAGCATAGGGCACGTGGAATCCCATAAATCAATAAGGATTACCTTGTAAGGCTAAATACTTCTAGGTGACCAATAGTAAAGTAATACCATGAGGGAAGGGTGAAAAGAACCCCCATTAGGAAGTAAAATAGAACATGAAACCATAAGCTCCCAAGTAGTTAGAGGAGCCCAAGGCTCTAACTGCATGCCTGCTGAGGAATGAGCCAGTGACTCATAGGCAGTGGCTTGGTCAAGGGAACCTACTGAAGTCATGGTGAAAGTGAGTCTTCATAGGGCAATTGTTATTATTTATGGACCCAAACTTGGGTCATCTATCCATGACCAAGGTAAAGCTTGGGTGAAACTAATTAGAGGTCCAAACCAACTGATGTTAAAGAATCAGTAAATGAGTTATGGTTAAGAGTGAAATACTACTCAAACCTATAGTTACCTAGTTCTCCCTGAAATGCATTAAGACACAGCAATTGACTAGACATTTAGGGGTAAAACATTCTCTTGATTCAAGCCACGAGAGCGGTATCAAGTTGAGGCAAACTCTAAATAGTAGATATGACCTCAAAATAACAGGGGCCAAGGTCGGCCGATAAGACGATGGGGGATAAGCTTCATCGTTGAGAGGGAAACAACCCGAATCACCAGCTAAGGCTCCTAAATGATTGTTCAATGATAAAGGAGGTAGCGGTGCAAAGACAGCTAGGAGGTTTGCTTAAAAGCAACCACCCTTGAAAGCGTGCATAATAGCTCAGTGACTGAGCACTCTTATATCGAAGATGAAAAAAGTTAACAAAAATTTTATAAAATTAACTTAGTTTAATTAACAAAAAAAATTACATTAAAATTTTAAATATTGACAAAACTATTATTAAATGTTGACTGCTAAGTCTAATGTTTTAAAATAATAATAATAATAATAATAATTGATGTAAAAAATAATCTTTTAAAATTAATGATATTAAGACTAGAAAACTAAAAAGTTATTTTATAAAATTAAAGGACCAAACTGAAATATTAAAATATAACATAAAGGCACTTATCAACCAGCATTTTTTCAAAGAAAAATAAAACTATCAAATAAAACTTTCAATATAAATCCAAATTGTTCAAATTAAATTTAGAGAGAATCATAATTAGATCCCAAAATATTTAATTAATGACAGTTATGCCTTCCACAAAAAATAAATCACAAATATGAATTCAGACAGTTATTACAAATAGCGGGAATCTCATTTACAAATTTTGATAGTTACAATTAACATGTAAAATGTCTTATTTATAATTGAAATTTTTAAATTTATAATTATCTGAATCAATATTTTTTTACTTATTTTTCAAAGAATTTTGTTAAGGATTTAACCGTAATTAATTTAATTTTTTACAACATATCTGTCATTCATCTTTAAATTTAAATAATTAAGATGCTTTCACAGCGATGAGTATTGATGCCTGTATATGATGCTACTGTTGCTTGCCGCAATGAGCATCTATGCTGGACCCGAAGAAGAAGAAGAAAAAGAAGATCAAGACTAATAACTAGATTTATTATTGGGACGAGAATGGCTACAAATGAATAATGAAAAAGGCACATCCTAATGACAGGCGAGGTACACAGTCACAAAGGCACATTAGGCGCGTAGTAGTAGTAGTTGGCACGAGAAGAAAGAAATTGAGAGGGGAAAAAAAGGACAATAATTTAAGTTTAAATTAAAGGAGCTAGTTAGCTAGTGTTCTTCTTCTTCTTCGTGTTGAAGGTTGATGATGATGATACCCATGAATGTAGCTCATCAGCCTCACACTGGGCAGTCGTCTTCTTCCTCCTGATCACCACTCTTCTTCTTATTCTGCTCTGCTCCTCCATTAATCTTCTCACTCACTTCCTGTGGGTGTGGGAACACCTGATCATTACCCCCCACCGCCACCATGACGCTCTTCATCGCCGTCACCTCCACCGCCTTCTTCTCCTCCTTCTCATCTGCCAGCCCGGCCTTGTTCTTCCCTCCGTTCCTGTACATTGCGTACAGCACCATCTGAATCACCCCTAGTCCGAATCCCAACACATTTGGCAGCTACACCATCACACACACAAGCACATATTCTCAGTACCAATTGAATATATATATATATATATATATATGAGTCGATTATATATAGACTTACAGCAATGCATATGTCCTTGAGGAAGAGACCGTAAGCGAACCACAGAACGGCGCTCAAAGTGAGAAAAAAAGACAGATTGAATGGCATATATTCCACGCTCTTTGTTCTGATCACCTGTGCCTGCACACCGGATCAATATATTCCACATCAAACACTTCACCACTTCTGTCTGTCTCCTCAAATTAATGACTATGTATCATTTATATATGTATGTATGGACAACAGTCAATAATCAAATCAATTTTTACTGACCATGATGCTCAGAGGGCTTGCAAAAACGCTGACTGCGATGGAAACACAAATCCAACCCAACACCTGAACGCGAAGGGAATCATCATGCACCGCAAAGTGAGTCACCACTGCGATCAACCCGAACGCCCCCACGTTCATGGCTCCGAATAGTTTGATGGTTAAGTTCTGATTATAAACCCGAAATCACATATATATCAGATTAATTATGATGAAGATATTTACATGTATTATTGAGAGTTATAGATAGATACATACCCTGGCATTTCTTGGGGCATAAATGAGGTACATGGTGATGTATATGATCTCCATGACGCATCCGAATGAGTTGATGGTAATGAGCAGCATCTCACCGGTCTTGATGAAGGCATAGTACAGCCACAGCATCGAGCTGAACAGTGCCACCAGGTACGGTAGTGACTGGAATCCCTCCGTCGATTTCTTCTTATATATCGTGTAAAATGTCGGCCTGCTCATCCCAGTTCATCAATCCAGTTATTCATCAGTCACATCATCAGAAAACAGAAATTAGCACAACACTTGTGTGTATGTATATATATGTATGTATATATATATATATATATATATACTTACAGAGGAGCCAAGAACACCATGAACGAAACGATGTTCCCTGCACACCCAAAAAGAACAACAAAGAAATGAGTGAGCAGAATTGAAATAAACATGATGGATCTCTGGGACAAGGAATGAAATTAAAGATGCTTCTGTTTCTGTGGGGAGCACATTCAATGCTCATCAGGGGTGATGAGCACCACTAAACCAATCTGGACTGTCAAGATTTAATCTAGATGTTTTAGATTTAATTACCTTTTTTATCTTTTATTTTTTTTAAATAAAAATTTATAAAATTTTAAATAAATATATTTTATTATTAACATGTAACATTCATATTTAATCACATCAGTCTAAATTTAATATTAATTTTTTATAATTTTATAAATTGACGATACAAATTTACTCTAAACTGTTTTGAATTTGATAGTATAATAAGTTAAAAATTTTAAATCTAAATAGCACAGGCTAAATCTTTATGATCAATTTATGATAAAACATAAAAAAATTAATATTAAATTTAAACTTATCTGATTAAATATGAATTGTACATGTTAAACATAAAATATATTTATTTACAATTTTATAAATTTTTACTTTAAAAAATAAAAAAATAGTTAAATCTAAACCGTACAGATTGATCCAAATTAATTCAGAGGTGATGAGGACGCTCTGATGAGCACTGAATGTGCTCCGGTGGGCGATAATAAAAAGGGTTACCAAAGAAAGAAGAGAGAGAGTTGATTACCGAGAATGCCAAAGACAAAAGCGAGAGTATTGTGACCCATGAAAGCCATTGTGATGAAAAGCAAAGTACTGACAGCAGTACCTCTGGGTTGCTCCGATCGATGATCTATGATCAGAGAGAAAAAACGAGACAAGTCCGATGGGCTTGTTCTCGTAGAGGCACTGATGATTGTTAATGGATGCTTCTGGGTGAGGATGGCCTTCACACCCCACCCCTATATATATATATGCGCGTGAGGGCCGGTACGCCGAAGGAAAAAGGAGAGAGATTATTAAAAGCAGACGCAAACCCACAAGAAAAAATGTAAAAGCGCAATGAAAAAGATATTTAATGGGAAAGATAACCACAACAATGAAAGTGAAAGGTGAGGGAAGGGTCATTCAGGCTTCATGAGGTTTTAGTAGGTGGCGTGGCGCAAAACCATTTTAACCGATGATGGTTACCACGTGTGTTTTCTTTTCTTTTTTTTAATTAATTAATTATTCAATTTCTTCCATAGTTTTAGCTCGGTTATATTCAGACTTCGAAGTATAACTCCTTCAAGTTTCATCCATATTTAATTCAACTTTCTACTTCAAGAAATATCTAATTCTTGTAGAATTAGTTGTGGCACATTTATAAAATTTTCCCGCTGTACTCTTAATTTATTCTTAAAAATAATTCAGTATTTTAAAATATAAAATATTTTGATAAAAAATGTATTCTCTCCGCCTCAAATTACATGACATTTTTAAAGAATTTTTTTTGTTCTAAAATATAAAACACTTTAAGTATATTAAAATTTTATTAAATGTATCAATTTCAAATTTATCCTTTCTCTATATATAATTAATTTTCATCTATTTTCTTTTTAATATATTAAATGATGGGCATATTTAAAAGTTTATATTTTTTATTTTAAAAAGATAAGGTTGTTAAGTGTATTTAATGAGATTTATTAATATGTAAAATTTAATTTAAAAGTATCTCATAATTTAAAATGAAAGAAATATTTCAATAATTATATTTATTTCAAGATTACCCTTTTCCTTCTTCTCAGTGTAATTCCTGTTTGCCAAGGGCCTATTGGCATTGATGGCGTGGCCCTTTCAAAAGAGAAAGGTTGCGAGTTCGAACCAAGTAATTTTCAGATAAATATAGTGAACTATGTTGGGAAGGGGAGGAGTGTGAGTCATTCAACAAAAAATTTATACTGTCTCTTATCCCGTTAATTCTTTGGTCCTTGATTTAAAATACATGATGGGCTATTAAAACACATTATGGGTATTAATTACATTAGTTTAATAATATCTCTATTTATACACTTTAACTATAAGAGAAAATATAATACAAATTTAAAAAAATATTTAAATAAAGAACAAAAGTAAAAATTTACTCTATTTTCAGATAAAGTTGATAACTTAATTAATGACAACATCTTAATTCCAATAAAATAGTTCATTAAAAGTATCTTAATTATAATAAGTACTTGGAGAAGTACTTTGTAAGGTGTATTATTTAATAGATTTTACTAATTTTCGTAATTTTATCAAAAAGTGTTTCATGAAAAATCGAAGTATAAAAGTTAACGGATTAAATATAACTTAAACTTGAGGTACGGCTAACGCGATGTTGTCATTCCGTTATGATACGGAAAGTGAGAAAGATGACGCGCAACGTGAGAGAGGCTGCGCCAATTATGAATAACAAATTCATCGTCCTTTTATTTCCGTTACTTTGATAACGGCGAAGGATGTGTGGCTGTGCACGTAATGTACAGTGTAGTCAGTGGCTATAGCTTTATCATCCTCGTGACCTCTTCCTCTTTGTAGGTTATTTCTCTCACACACAAAATCCTTCCTCACTTAATTATTAATCTCTTATTATTATTTTTTGTTTCTTCATCATTAATTACAAAACTAGCATATTGGAATGATCATGATAATGTGTGTTCCTTGTTCCTCTCTCGTTTTGAAAAAAATTAGTTACTTATATTTCAAGTTATGCTTATATAGCTACTTCCTCCAGATTAAAATATAGAGTATTGATAATTAATTTGTAGTTTTTTAAAAATGTCAATTGAAACCTTAATTTTTTTAAAAAAATTATATCTTTTTAATTTTATCCTCATTAAATATCATATATAAGTGATTTGATAATGATAGTTAAAATTTTAATATACTCCCTCTTGTTCTATTTATAAATCACTTTCAACATATTTCATTGAAACCAAGGAAAACGTTACATCTCATTAACTTTATCTTAAAATTTAAAATGTTCTACTTTATCCCTAATAAATATTCTTAAATCTCATTACTAGTTTTTTTATACAAAGCATTTAATAAATGCAAAAATGTAAAAAGGAGCATTAAAAATTGGAAGGTGCTCTATAAATAAGATCAAATTTTTCTTCTCTCCCTACCATATAAATAGAACCAGAGCAATATCATTTTAAAAAGAAAGAGTAATAAATGAGTAGAAGTATTGTTAAAAAAATAATTATAAAAGTTACCCAATGTTCTTAAGTTTGGACCAAGCAAGGCTTCTAAAAAATGTTTTATATTATGATTGGGAGGGAGTATTGGTTAAAAAAAACCACCAGCAATAGATCATATATAGCATGAAGTAATTAATAGCGAAATGTAATTTTGTTTTATTAAAATATACTTATTTGTTATTTTAAAAATATTTTTAATCATTGTAAATGTTTATTATTGAAGGGTAAAATGGCTCTCTGATTTTATTTATAAGTCATTTTTAACATGTTTTATAATAAAGAAAAACATTAAACCCTATTACTCTATTCAACAATTTAATAAATTTTTAACTTTACCATTATTGAATTACAATATACTATTTCTCTAGTCTTATTTATATAAGATAAGGAGAAGATAAATTTTGATCTTATTTATAGGACGCTTCACTATTTTCTTTATTCATATTTACTTTTCTATCCTTATTAAATATTAAAAAAATTATTAAAAATTATTTTTTTGTCTGACAAAATTAATAAGATTTAAAGTTTTCTTTAGTTTCATTAAACATGACAAAAAATAGAGATGGAATAGAGAGAGTACTTTAGAGATAAAATACTCCAACCTTTAATAAGCTTTTTTAACATTTAATTGAGCAAAAGAATAGAAATGGACACAAAAATCACAAAAAATATCTTATAAACAGGACTAAAACAAATCCTCACTCATTGTCATATAAATTAAACCTGAGGAATATGCTTTATTATACTGAATTCTAGAGTAACAATTGTTTGGAAACATAGCCAGAACCTTATATATAGCAGTGATTATCATTTCCAAACAAAAGGGAGTGTATATTATTAATTATTTATTAACTAGATATCTTTGAGATTTTTTCTCTAATTGATACTTTTTAAACTATGGACTGGGTCTTATGCATTATTAGAGTAGTTTTTGGTGAAGTCATGCATGCCTACATAATCAATATCGATATATACTATCGTCAATTCAAAACATCTTCTGTGAAAGTTTAAATTGAGGTAGAAGCAGTTGCATATATAGCTTATATGGTATAAAAAAATAATGTATGAGAGTAAAAGTTTATCGATAAAGAATAAAATTATTTAAAAATCATTTAGCTTCATTAAAATTATAAAATGATATATCAGATATTTTTTACAATCAAGTATACTTTGAAAGTGCGCGAGATGGATACTTTGGATACTATACTTTTGAAACAAAATGAACTATACTTTCAAAAGTGCGACGATATATATTTTGGAATGGGCCGGGATGATTTGAATTGTATTGTGAATTACTGTTTTATCAATAAACAAGAAAAAAATTAGTGTTTTATTTACTCCCATCATTTGGTTTTTATAAGATATTTTCTCATTTAATATTATAAGACATTTTTATAAAGTATCATATTAAAAAATATAAAGAATTTTAAATCTTTTAAAGTACAATTAATGATATTTTTCAAAAATATCTTTAATTAACAGCATAATTAATATTTTTTAATTACAGCACTCTATTAACTAAGAGTAAATATGGAAAGAGTGTGTAATTTAAAATACAATTAACTAATTTATTAGAAATATAATTCAATTAAAAATATCCTAGAATAATAAATAAAGGGAGTAAGATATTGCTTACTTTACACAAACAAAAAAATTAAATAATTTGTTTAAACTACCTCATCTTTCCTTAATCTCCTTAATTAAATACATTATTACTCCCTCCATCTTGTATATATGTCACATTACATAAAAAGATATATCATTAATTACTTTCTTTTAATTGTATCCTTTCACAATGGGCAACGTAAAATGTTACTAATGACAAATAAAATGTTTTTTAAAATAATATATTTAATAATGGTAAATTGAGAATTTTTTTCTGAAAAAATTACTAATTTAACCATCTCCCATAGATTATAATGATGTAGTTGGAAATAACTTATATAAAAAGCATTATATTAAAAAAAAAACTTATATGCAGAGTATATATGACCAAAGGGTCTCCTATATTAACAGCACCATTCTCAGGAGCATTTTAGATAGTGATCTTTTTTATTAGCCAAATATACATACATATATATATATATATATATATATGACCTTAATATGAAGCAAATTTAACCAATTTCATGCTTATCAACAAATGGCAATTATATCTTTAAAATTTTTAAAAATATATAACTTTTTAATTTTGTTTTTCATTGTAATTAATAACTATCATAAATTTTTGTTTATAAATTCAAATCATAATAAATAAACAAGGCTTAAAATTGAAAAAAAAAAAGAATTACTCTAAATTGTCCTTATATTGAAGACAAAAAAAACTTTCAAAATGTGCTTTAGATTAAGAAATAGTAGTTACTCTTCTAATTCTATTTATAAATTATTTTTAATATATTTTATCGTGGCCAAGAAAAATTTTATAACTCATTAACTTTATCTAAAAATTTAATAAGTTTTCAACTTTGTTCCTATTAAACATATATATTTTAATAACATGCTTTTTCTCTTCAATATTTAATAGAAAGTAAAAGAAAAAATTTATGATAAAATTTAATGATGTTAATTATAAGCATGTCAAAAAAATATTTTCTCTTCCATAAAACTAAGATTAGAGGGAGTATGTCTTTAAAATTGTAAAAAATATAGTGTAACTTTTTAATTTTGTTCTTCTTTACAATTAATAACTATAATAAATTG